AAATGGTCTGCGGCTGGTTTAACATGAGAAAGAGAGCAGTGTTGTATTTTTTTTACAAAGGAACCATCTTGCAAGACATAGGTGAAAGGTCGCCTACCCAACTGTATAAACGGAGATCAATTCGGAAAGAGAATCAGAAGAAAGAATAGAAGAAGGACATTGATCGAATTGATCGTGCCTTGATACCTGGATACTTTCAGGTGATGATAATAATAATAATAATAATCCTTGCATTTGATATAGCGCTTTTCACGTCGGGAGGACGTCCCAAAGCGTTTCACAGAACACACTGTAAAGTGAATTGACTGTATATTTGTGGGCAAACGCGGCAGCCAATTGCGCACAGCAATGTCCCACAAACAGTCGTAGATTGAAAATGACCAATTTATTATTGTTTTTGGTTTTGGAGGGATTATTATTAGGCTCTGTGTGGAGTAAGGAAACTTGCCCAAGGTTTCGCCCTCTGCCTGGAATTGAACTCAGGTCTCTCGCTTGCAAAGCGAGTGCTCTAACCACTGAGCTACAGGACTCCAAGCTAACTGAGAAACATACATCAATACTTCGAACCCTTTGGATGGACATATATATTTGGATTAAAAAGGACACATTAAAATGGACATTAAATGGACATTAAACTGGACATTGCTACTCTATCTCTTCCGCAGCTTTCGGTTACAACAACTTAAATCGTGGCGAACTGTACATGGATACATAAGCATTATTGTGATGTATTCTTTTAATTACTTACTAACTATTACTAATCTGACTTACTAAACATCTATATTTTGTACAACATTTGTGACAGTCCTTACTTCACCACAGGGTCACAAATATAAATCAACTCTTACAATGGGAGGAGAAGAATAACGACATATAACAACTGTTGAATAAAGTACAAGCTCAGCTGTCCATCATTAAAGATTACATTTCTGGTCTGAAGCAAGAAACTTTTTACCTGGTGCAAGACTTTTGCTGCTGTTCGTGAATTTACCAACTGACTCTACCAAAGAAGCAGAATCAAGTGATTTATGGATTGACCAACTACTGATTCTGTTACTTTGATACAGACATTTGTCTACGCTATTGACCTGTCTGTTCTATTTGTGATAATTGAAATAATAAATTTTACATTTTTTATTAAGTAAAGAATTTTCAAAGCATGAGTTTAATTAAAGGAAGGCCATAAAGAATAAGCTGGTCTTATTCTGCCCATTGCCCAGAACCCAACACCTTCAGTTCCCTTGCAACAGCCTCTGATGCTGTTCCTCACCACGTGGGGCAAGCTTTGAATCGGACCTAACAGACCCTTCACTGGAAGTGGTAAAAGCTGTCAAGACGAGTGTTAGTCGAAATTTGGGGAATAACTGGAAGAACACAGGAAGAAGACGGACACTTGAAGGTCACTTCTGTGATGGGTGGATTCTGCAAGACTGACATTCAAAACCAGTACAAGAAGGTTTCACGAATCTCCTCGGCATTTTAGTCCGAAAGTCAAGCCTCCCAGTTCCCCACTGCGAGCATTCAGTCGATGGCACTGTGAAAAGGCACCTCTCTGATAACCTGAATGTCAACTAGTGCTGTGGTACTCCTTCTGGGCTAAGAGCATAACAATTAGTTGCAATAGTCTGGCTATAAATCTAGGTGCTCTCAATTAGTGAAATGCTTGTGGCATTTCTAGCAACAGAACACGGTATTAGCCTTAACCTTTCGAAATCAGGATTCTTCTCAAAAAAATCAAGACCCGCAATACGCTGCGTGATTGAAGCTTTCCAGTACTATTCCATCAAAGGCACCCTCAGCCTTACCCTGAACGGTACTTGGTGAGTTTACTGCTCAGAGCGCAATACTTTGAAAAATGTTCATGGAGACATCTTGAAGAGGTTTCTAGCCTCCAGGAACTTTGCGACAGCTTCGGCCAGTCACGTTTGGACCATTATTAGTCGGACGCAGTAGACAGCGAGAGACAAATGCTGCCTGGGGTCAGCTGGCTCCAGAAATCAATTCCCCCCCCATTCTGAATGAACGCCTGTTAGAACTCGATCCTAATGAATCTGGCAGGGAATCCTTGTGAATATGCTGAAAATGTAACAGGAAAACAGCTCTGTGGGGCCAAAGCCAATGGAAAGCAGCAAACAAGGCTTTTGCTTTCAATTTAATTACTTTGGGTAACCTTTAAATGTTAACAGTTATTACACCCTACTCAGCTGTGATCACAGCAAACATCAGCCAAGACTTGCTGAATGTGATGCACCCAGGAGCTCAGGGTGAGGGAATCAATAGGCCGAGGTACTAGAGTTATTAACCTGTTCTATTAAGTCTGCATGGACCTGTAGATTTAATGTAGAGGTTTATGCCGAAAGTCACCCATGTTGCAAACTGGAGCACACGCACAAAATTAGCTCTGAGTGACTTTGATGGAATTCCTCGTGTATTAATGTACTTACTGGCTGTTCATGGCTTCGTTAAAAACCATCAACGTCAAAATCATTCCAGACACATATTTCAGCTTTAAAAATGAAATGGCCTCAACTTTTCCAAAGGGGCTTAATCTCTCTGCAAAAAACCTGGGCAAATGCGATTTTTTTTTAAACATTAGGACGTAAGGTTATAAGATAATCCACCTGTTGACGACTGCTGGAGGTTTAAGTGCAATTCCTGATCCATCCATTATCAGACACATGCACACAGGTTCAGCTTGACTTTGGATTGAAATGTGGGCTCGTTTTTTTTTCAGATAGAGATTTCAAATTCAGCCTTTATTAATTCACAGCATCCAACACTGACAGACTGCCCACAGTAAGCGTGGTTTAAAAAAATGTAATCGTCTTCTGCAAACCATCACCGTTATCAATGAAAAAAAGGGACTATTTGCTCGCAAGTTTGTTGCATGTTATTGACATAGGTTTCGCCCACAAAATATATAGTCAATTCACTTTACAATATATTCTGTGAAGCGCTTTGAGACGTCTAGAAGACGTGATAAGGCGCCATATCAAATGCAAGGATTATTATTATTATTATATTATGATAGGATATGAAAAGTTGGCTTTCATTCAGCCCGATCTTTCTAAAGTAAACCAAAAAACATATAAATGTATTCAAATCACAGGTCTGCGCCAATTCTCAGAGCACCTCACACAGGATGTTTACCATAAAGTGTAGTGACTGTATATTTGTAGGCAGATGCCACAGACCTGGTGTTTTGCTTTTTAAAAGATCACTACTTAAAAAAAGATCTCTTTTGCTACCAAGGAAAAGTTACCTTGTAGTCAGGAAAAGATTAACTGCTGCAGTAGTGAAGAAACATCCATCAGGGTAAAACCTTAGGCAAGTTTCCTTACACCACACACACGCCTCTGTTTACCTCGCAGTAAGTAGGAACCCGCTTAATAGTCGATTGGCAGATCGCTTTCTGGGGGTGATAAACCCTTAAAAAAATGTGCTCACTCGATCCACAACTGTTTGTGGAACGCTGCTGTGCACAATTGGCTGCCGCGTTTCGCCCACAAAGCATACAGTCACTACACTTGACAGTATATTCTGTGAAGCGCTTTGAGACGTCTCGTCGACGTGATAAGGCGCTGTATCAAATGCAAGGATTACTATTAATATTATTACCTGGTAAACTATTAATGGCTGCTACAGCTCTACTGCTCTGTGAAGTGTTGGGCTTAATAACTAATAACATATTAAAAGTTAAATATACCAGTATTAAAATCCAACAGAAAGCCATTTGCTTTCGTTAGGCTGGAGGCTGTTTTAAGGTGTTCAGATTATTTTATTATGAAAAGAAAGTTATAATAATAGAGAAAATATTTTTTAAGACGAGGACGATTTACGTTTTACACAGAAGAATCTTATTGTACAATTTAATGTGCTTTGATAATGTTATTTATAAGTTGCAATTTCATTACAGTTGTTCATAAGGGCAAAGTCTGTGAAACAGTGAACAGAATGCAGAGTAGCTCTCAGCCCAGCGCAACAAATTCCCTGCGTGGGACACGCAGACAAGAATAACCTGCAACGATTCTACACCGCTGTGCAACATCACTATGCCAAGCATCCGCATGATTCCTCCAGGAAGGTTACGATTCAGTTTCTAAATAAATACAAACGTTCCTACCAGAGCTTACAATAACAGCTTGCATTTATATATACTCCAGCACCCTTCACGCAGTGTAGCGTCTCGGGGCGCTGGATGGGTAAAAATTATTGCATTATTAATAATAAATAATAACAATAATCACCTTTGCGTTTAATACTGTGCCGTGTCGTATCAAAACATCTCAAAGCACTTCACAACAGTCTGTAAAGTGCAATGACTGTGGATTTTGAGGGCGAATGCCGGAGCCTATTTGCACACAGCAATGTCCCACAAAGAGCCATGAGGTGAACGACCAATTTTTCTCTGGGGATTCTTGGCCAGGACTTTTTTTCGTGTAGCGCCACGGGATCTTTAACGTCCACCTGAACTGGACCTCGGTTTAACGTCTCATCTGAAGGACGAGACAATTGGATAGACTGCTGGAATTTGTAACAGTTTCAGTGAGGTAATCATCACATTGAATCTTGAAAGAAGCAGAACTGCAGCTGATAATTATCAATGGTTTGTGGTGTGAACGCACCTCGTCACAAAGAACCTCAACCACACAGGGGGGTAACATTTCGAATCCAGCATAACTAGATATTATTCGTTGAAAGTTTCTTTCAGACGAAGCCTGCCCACTCTTGGCTGTGCTATCGCTGACCCTGAGGTAATCCTAGTCTATTCCGCGGAACCTCGTGTGAAAAAAAACCACGGCCCAAAGTCCCGATACTGAACTTCAACCCACAGCCTCCTGCCTCAGAGGAGAAGTGCTATCGACCAGCGCCAGGCTTGCATCCAGGGCAGATTATTCTCAAGGAGAACTCGGGAGCCATAAGCCGCCTTCGATTTTGATTTTATTTTTGGCTACTCGTTTCTTAAGAGCGCGAAAACGAAGAGCTAGCATTTCGGGTACCTTATGGGGTAGTCAGCAGCACTCAGGTTGATGAAGAAGTCCCAGGACCAGTCTTTCATCTCCAGCAGGTCCCGCATGCTCCGGAGGTACATGGTCAGCAAACTTGCACCTCCCCAGATGGTGGCCATTCGCCAAGACGTGACACGGACGTTTGGGTACTGCCTGGCGAAGCCCAACACTTGTCGGTGCAGGTAGTTTGATCGCTTAAAGACACAACAAAAAGCATCATAGATGTAACGAGAGGCAAAGCACGTGGGCGAACACACCAAAAAGGCCAATTTTATAGAGAAACGGAGGAAAATGATATTAAGATTAGTGGCTTTGGAGGCTGGTGGTTTGGACAGTTATTGCCGCAAGTCTATATTCCTTCAATACAAAAAAGAACATTTTGAAACAGTGTATTATCTTTTAAGCCTGAAAGGTGCCATATCAAGTATAAATATTATTCTTAATATAACCAATAATAATAATAATAATGCTTGCCTTTGATATACTGTCTTCAATTTGTTGAGACGTCTCAAAGTGCTTTGCTGAAAAGTGGACTGACTGTGTGTTTTATGAGTGAAATGCGGTAGCCAGTTGCGCATAGCAGTGTCCCACAAAGGAGTGAGTAACTTTGTTGGTCCACAAAATAAATGTGAGAGTGGTGCTGTGAGTCAAATATAACGGGGTGAAAATATTTCATGACGGATTCACGTGATTGACATATCTCGTTAGACGTCAATCTCCCACTCCGATCCCCCCCCACAATCAAACCATAAGCTCTCTTTGCCAATACCTTGTCCACGTGTATGTAGTAGTAGTGATCTTGATGATAAATCGCCTTGAACATGCGTTGAAGCTGCCGGGAACCTCTTCCATGAACAACCAAGACAAAGGCGATCCTGATGGGATGTGAAGGCAGTAACTCCAAAGAGTCATCTTCTGGCTGGATGTTGTTTGTTGCCTTTCCTATTTGGAAACAAAGGATAAGAATGGAAACTGTGTGGAAATGCTGCGTGACCTGTAGAGGTATTATAATAATAATAATCCCTGCGTTTGATATGGGGCCTTATCACATCGTTGAGACATTTCAAAGCGCTTCACAGGATATACTGTAAAGTGAACTGACTGTATATTTTGCGGGCGAAACGTGGCAACCAATTGCGCACAGCAGCGTCCCACAAACAGTCGGGTTGCTTTCAGGGTATGGGAGCAAAGTCCTGCCGACAGGCTAAGGTTTTTTTTAAAGCCACCCTGAAAACCTAAGGCTTTTTTCCGGCTGATATGACCACAGTCCAAGCTCAATCCGGAAATTTACTAGAATGTCCTCTCCACATCAAAACCCTTTATAAATGTGCCAGTGTTGATGCTGTGATCAGCAGTGACAGTATTAAATGACAGACAACCATATCAATGTAACAACCCCTCCCAATGAAACACAAACTGCGATTTATCAAGACTGATGCTTTAAATTTGTGTCTGTGAGGATCAGATATTGATCACTCGGCTTCCGTGCCTTCAATTTGCACCAGCCATCGCAAAGGTTTAGCCTCTCCTCCATCATACACGAGTCCCTGGATGTTGACTGAAGACNAAAAAAAAGCAGATCCCGACAGAATTTATGAGGTCGCCACATCAGATGGAATCGTCGTTGAAGTCAAAGATTGTTAACAACCTTGCCTCGGCTTCTAGAAGACGAGCGCACAGACAATGGAAGGCAGGTTTCCGCCTCTGGTTCCCACTCTCTTCTTTGGCTTTTGATGGTGATTGACAGACCACATCAATTGGCTTTCAGTCACTCACCCATCTATCACATCACACGGAAAAATGCTTCGCTGGCTGTCACGGTAACTTTCTCAGGGCAGCCAAAGCAACTGAGAGTTTTCAGTGTTTTCTGAACACTGTAACTTTTCTGTCAGTCGCTTTTAGTAGCCTCCCACTGGCTAAAATAGGTAAATACTCTTAGTGGTTCCAAGCGCTGCAAGACGCCGTCCGGTGCGAAGGGCGCTATATGAATGCAAGTTGTTGCTGTTGTTTCTAGGCTGTCCAGGCCATCATAGATCACTGACCCTGCAGTGCAGTGCTGCATTGTCAGAGGTGTCATCCGTTGGATGAGGCAAATCAAAGTCCTATCTGCCTGTTCAACAAGGGGACGTTAAAGAACTCGTGACACTATTGGAAAAGAGATGGACGTTTCTCCTCGGGTCAACAATTCTACCAGTTAAATTGTTCCGATCAATTGGTAAAATCTTATCAACCCTTCCAATCGGCCTGACCCACCATCAGCGGTCGGGCCTTCAGCCTTTATGTCCGCCATCCTTTGGAACTCCATCCTAGAATCCCTTCGCCTCACCCCTGCCTTCACCTCCTTCAATGCCCACCTCAAGACCTTCCTCTTTGACCGTGCCTTTGATCCACTTCCCACCTCCACCCTCCTTGACTCCCACCCTTTTCGAATACAACCCCTGGCTCGGGTTCAAACCCTCGATGGTACAAATGCAATTTTGTTGTAGTTATTGGTGGTAGTCATTCACCTCCTGACTATTCGTAGGAGTTTTGAGCACAAATTGGCTGTCAGAATTGGCTACAATACACTTTCACTAGACTCAGCAGTAAATCTCGAGACAAGGTGAAGTGGACGTGTTCTAAGTGGTCTCAGTTTGCCCAGGCAGGGCGAGGTAGGGTGGGAAGGTCAAGGGTTGGAAAATAAGACAGGATTCTAGATCTTATCGCTATCCAGTATCCCCGGCCGAAGGCTCATCTGCAGGGGAGCCTCAAGGCCTTCTCACGCTTCCTGTTACAGGGTCACAGGCTGGTGAGGTGCTGGAAAGCTGTATGTACGTATGTGCGGAGCTGTACCTCACCTTGACTCCACCTTCAGGAAAGGACAGAGACAATTACAGATGGGGAAATTACTCATTTCTCCCCAGCATAAATCATATATCTGATGGGCAAGCACATAATACTCTACCTATATTTCCCTAATGAGAATCATCTAAATGACTCGCTTGTTCATGAATGATGAGGTTACACATTTGCCTGATACCGATCTGCTGCTTAATGAAAATTCAAACTATCAAATAAGGCAGATAGGACCGATCACACACTTACTCTTGAGGTGAGCCTGGTACATGGCAATTAATCCAATGGGCTCAGAGGCGTCTGAAAAGGGGAACGGTAATAGCGTTCCTGACTGTTGACGCAACTGATACACAGGGAGACGATTCCCAGCATCAAACTGATAGATGTCGGATCACCCGTTTATTACAGCAGAGAAAGAAACATTTCTCATTGATGCACAGTCATTTGGAGAATGAAGCAATATCATCTCAGGTGCTGGAAAGTGCCTCAGTGCTATTCACTGCAAACTCCAGACACCGAACTTTTCAGTGAACCTCACGAAGGACAATGAGACGTCCTCCAGACGTGAAAAGCGCTATATCAAATGCAAGGATTTATTTTTTTAGCGGATTAGGACTCTTTTAACAAGGTTTACAAATGGAATCGTATGTTCCTTCTGCTCCTCAAGACTCCCTCAACTATTTTAACCGGACAGCAAATTTATCCTGGGGTTAAAAATTGTGGTGGAGGCTAAATCCATGATAGCTTTTAATGCAGAATTGTTCAAATATTTGCCCAAACTATTGTGGGTTTGGGAGGTAGGGACAGGCGTGTCTGAAATGAAAGAGTTTCGGAATTTGGCAAATCTGCAACTGCAGCGTTAATTTTGAAGGTTTCTTTTTTTTTAATGTACCTTTTCTTTTACGAAACACACGTCTGAAATTTAAGACCGAATTCAGGAACTTGCCACATCCTGGGTGCTCTGAAATGCTACGTGAAATGGAGTAAATCTAGACCCAGGCGAAAAAATCTCAGCCCTCCCGTGTGCACTGTAAAAGCCACCCGATTTGAGGCAGTGAGGCATTCTGCCAGTTTAAACATCTGTAAGACATCTGCAAAACATCTGCTCAGTGAAGAAATAAAAGTCGCCGTTGGGAGAGGTTCGCGTCGAGGACAGTAGCCATTTTCTTATCCTCACTGAACCTTGACACCTCAGACCGCAGTGGATTTTGAAAAGCAGAACTTTCGAGGCAAATGAAATTGAATAAGGAAAAAAAAACCTTGAACCTTCAGTGAGTCTTTCATTTTACAGCAACTCACAAAATTAAATTGAGCATTAATAAAAAAAAAACCTCTTCAGCACGTGGCAACACCACTTCTCGTACTTCATAGTTCACTGCCCGTCGAGCAGAGAAATGACGTTTGATTAAGACCTGACATTTTCGTCAGTAGAATACAGGGCTGAGGGATTAAAATAATGCAACCCGATTCCCACAGCTTTAAAAAAAGTCGAATCTCCTATTTTCTCCTTCACTGTTGATATCTGAACAGCAACACATGTTTCCATCGATGGAACACACAGAGAAATGAGAAATGTACGTCTGTGACTCACCAAAAAAAAAAGTTTCTTTCCGACGCACGTGAGACCTGATGTTCCACCCAGTCTCAGCCCGCAAGGCCATTCGTATTTTAAGAATTGTGGAAAATGTCTTAAATAGTTTCATGTTAATAATACTCCTTGCCTTTGATACGTTTGCCCTATTGTATCATTGGTAATGTCTTAGAGCGCTTCACAGTATTCATTATGGCGAGGAATGACTGTGCAGTTGCAGGCAAACAGGGCAGCGAATTTGCACACAACAATTACAACAATAATAATAATAATCCTTGCACTTAGTGTAGTGTCTTTCACCTCAAGAGAACATCTCAAAGTGCTTCACAGGATTTGCTGTAACCTGTCCCACAAACAGCTGCTAATCCAGTCCTAATTTAGTGGATCTTTTTATCAATTACAAAAAAACACACACAGCTTCCAAATCAAGACTGAATTTGGGAGTTTTCCACAATTGTGTGCGATCTTACAACGGTCCTTTATAGCCTAAATGCAGGTGGAATTTTAGGCCAATGAATGCCCTGATTCTGTTAAATGCGACTGACCGCTTGAAGACAACCCCCTGCCACCTGCTAGAGCCTTCTTAAAGCCGGCACACAGCGCTGATTTTTTGACGGGAAAGGCTTTCTAAACGCCAGACTACATTTAGCTTTGACTGCGAGCGGGGGAAACGGTTGGTGGATAGTCAGAATCACTCTGGGCTCAGAGACGGTTGTCGGCGACCGATCCCTCCGCTGTGCCACCCTCCGAGACACTGTCCTGCTTGAAGGGGCGCGATAAAGATCTGTAAAAAAAATAATCAGTCCACCTATTGTGAAGTAGAGAGAGCAGCCCGTCTCCCTCACCTCTTCCTACACACACACACGCTATTACCTACACAGTAATTGCACTAATGCATCAGAGGATGGAAGCATGACTGCAGCATTAGCGCAGGACCGATGTTGTCGTTGGCCTTACGCAATTCCCTCCGCAGCTATATATTTTTTTGCAGTTGCAGTTGCAATCCCAGGCCAGGCTTCCTGGGACTGGAAGTGCCAGTTCTAACCTGAAATATTTAGCGACAGAAACTTCCCGGGTTATTAGAATTTGATGCAGTCGGTATGTGGTGGAGGAATTGAATGCTCAGCGAGATGAAGTCAGGTCTTTACCGCGGAGCTCATGGAATAAATCTCGCTGCAGCAGAAGTCGACAGTGAGAGAGGGAGAGGGGGAAAAAAAGCAGCCCAACATTTTAGTAAAATTAATGCACATATATATCAAATGTCAAGTGGGAATAACGACACCATCATCCAATTTCAATCGTGCTAACAGACTGACCTTGCTATGGGCTGAAACGCAAGTCTTAACTGGTAGCTTATTGTCAATGAAATTTTAATTATAATCACCAGTTTTGTGTGTGTGTGTGTGTGTGTGTTTGCGTGTACGGGAAACAAAGAGATCCGGTATTTAATTTGACGATGGCGTATTCTCTAAATAGTGTAATTTAATTCAATGTTCCTTGAGGGACAAACACATTA